ACAGAGTTGAGTTTTTCGTATTTCGTATTTCGCACCTCTCTAAAGCCTCAAATACGAAATTTCATAGAAAGATTTAAATTAATTTTCGTTTCCTTTGTCGATTATATTTATCGATAAAGTAATAATTGATTTATTTATCTTTTTATACGTTGTATTATTTTCTTTTCTTATTTATTTGGCATTTGATAACAATTGCACGGGCCTGCTAGTAGTGTTTAATTGCGTTTTATGAATCGAGTAGGAGCGTCACATTTGTTTGAACTATCGGGAAAGTTATGAAGAATATTTTCAACGGTGATTATTATAAGTCAAAAGTTACCTATAGTTAAATAGTTCTTTGAAATTATTACTTTTATTCACACTCCGCAAAATGTTTTAAAATCGACAAGGTAATCAGGTCTGACGGGAGAAAATGGTAGCCGGGGTAACAGCTCCGGGTTCGGGCTCCTGAGGGGGCTATGAGATTTCCAATTTAATTTTTAACTTCCAAATTTACATTAAAATATAAGCTTAATGTTTCTTACTAAAATTTAAGTTTAAAATAAACTTCAATTATTTTCATGAAAAAGTAAATATTAGAGCTGGAAACTTTGTCACTGCATTCCTAGAAACTTGAAACTACGCATCAATTCCTATGATATAAATCTGGGAAAAAAACACTATTTCATAACCATCTTACATGAAAATTATTTGAAAAATTCCCTTTTATAATTTTTATTAATAAAATGTGCTTTTTAGGCAATTATGTGTATTATAATGCATTCCATATCACGGAAAAATCAGAACTAAAAGCTTTGCAACAGTTAATTGTATTCATTTTTGCCGAAAAAATGTGCACTTTTAGGTGACTGGGTAGAAAATCACTTCATTTCTTTACATAACTTGAGGTGAATCTCAAAATTTTTCATAATTAACCTCAACTTAATTAATATGGACTTAAAGCTTATTAAACTTAGTTGTGTTTATCCGTCCAAATGCCCTCTATAAATATTTTTAACAATGACAAACTCTATTTTTGTTTAAAGTAAATTTTATCTAGTTTACTGTGGAATCTTTAGCTTGTTGGACTGGAAATAACTTTTTTGGAATATCTAATAACAGATAAAGGCGGAGCCGTGGTTGTCCAGTGAGTTTTTTTTTTTTTTTCTTTTTTTCTAACCCCCCAAAACGTTTATTTAATTAAATTACATATATAAGAATAACAATACAAATAACAACGTCCTTCCACTGCCCGAGGGCATTTTAAGGATTGGGGATAGCTAAGGGTAATATTTGTGGCACAAGGCCTTGTAACTTTCATTGAACGGAGAGGGACCGTTCTGCTGATTATTCATTATTTCTTACAATATTTACACTATTTACAATATATACACATTAATGGGTTTGGATCGCAGAGTTCAGACCACGTCCTTCGGCGAGTATGCCTACCAAACGGAGTTTACCTTCTCACCTCCCAGGTCTGGGTGGTGGTGAGATCTCATTAAACAGTCGATTTGCACAGGCCTTCAGCTCATCAAAAAAATTGATGTGTCTCCGGCCTATGAACTCAGGTACCGAGGAGAGTTGGAGCCTCTCGCGTATTGTTTGATTCTTAGCCCTTTGTAGAGTGGTGCCACGGACAAGCCCTGTAGACTCGTAAGCGTGGATTTATATAGGTTTCGCAGGACAGGGGTCCCGTGGAGCAGTGTAGGTGTTATTATAGCTTTATAAATTTTGAGCTTGAGTCTCAGCGAGGGCTGTGGCGACTTCAATGGTGTTCACAGACGACCCCTCTCTGAAAACCAGTCTGCTCTGGTGGTATGATGCTCTCTTTCTAGCAGTGCTTCATAAGGTGGTGGTGAATTAGCCTCTCGAAAATCTCACTGATGTGCGAGAGGAGGCCGATCGGACGATAGTGCTCAGATGAGTCCCCTTTCTTCGCCGGCTTGAGTAACAGTACAACGATCGCTTGTTTCCATGCGATAAAAGTATAAGATCGAAGACATGAGTTGAAGATGTTCAGTAGAAAGGCTTTACTATTTCTAGGGAGCATCTTCAGCAATTCGTAGGGAATATCATCCAGTCCAGACGCTTTGTTTTATTTGGTGCGTCGTAATGTCGACTCCAGCTGGTTGAAGGTAGAGAAGACGGGTTCATCGTTGGGACTGGGCAGTGGTCCATCTGTTATTGGTGGTGTATGTCTCCTCCGCTCTGCATCCCTCGCTTCATAGCTTTTGGCCAGGAGTTCAGCCTGTTCCTTAGGTGTCAGCAGCGTGTTCCTTTTCTTGTTAACGAACATCCTGACCAGTCTCCAGAACTGGCAGTGGTCATCATGTGTCCTCCGGAGCTGGTCATGTCAGAGGGAGGTCTTCTAGTCTCATATGAGGCTGGCTACCTGCCGGGTCATCGCATTGATGACCGGTTTCAAGCTGTAGTCACGCGTGCGCTGAAAGATATTCCTCAGGTTGTTCCTCTGACTGATCAGGGCGAGGATATGACGTAATGATCATCCGATGGTGTTGGGCTGTGGAGCGAACCTAGGGATGTTCTGGTTGGCTGAGTCCTGAACAATGATGGTGATGATATCCACCCCCTCGTTGACCTCTTCTACTGTCCGGCATGGCGTTTACGCCAGTAAAGTAGTTTCAACGCAAGACCTGTATCCTTTCCAGTAGGCCTTGTGGAGGCCTCCTATATGAATGAGATTACCTCCATCTGCAAGATTTGCACAGCACAAATGCATATGGGCCATTAGAACTTGCTTCCTGTAGCTGTACAGTTTCTTCTATCTGCAGATGACATCGTTCTTATTGCAAATTTCCCCGAGCCACTTTAGCAGGCAGTAACAGAGTGGGATGAAGAATTGAAGAGAGGGAGAATGAGCAAATTACTTGATAAAATAAAGCTTAAGCTATCCTAAATTTTCAGTGATTACTCAAATTTGAGTAACTTAATTTAATGTCCATAAAAATTATTTCAAACTATAAAAAAAAAAAAATAAATAAAGAGAATAAAAATTAATAATAAAACCTGTAGATTTATTTTTTTCATTCTACATGTAGTTGTCTTTTCAAATGATTCAATTTCTATTAAATGGCTTGGATATGTTTCAATACAATCGCAATAACAATTTTATTTCCTAATTTCTTGTAAATTTATTACTTATGTCTTCCATCATAAAACATAGTAATTAATAAAATGTATCTATTTGAAATATAAAGTACTTAATTTCAAATAAAAACATATAAATTGATAACTAAAATAGTTGACCGTAATGATTAATCTGGGAGATGGACATGGTTGTGATAAAAAATTAAAATATATATTGAACTTGATTAAATTTAAAACTATTTAAATGCACATCTTAATAATAATAAAATTTTAATTTTTTTTTTTATTTTAAATACTAATAAAATTTTATTATACTGATATCAGTTATTATTATCAGGATTTTTTTTAATATTACGTACTCCTGCATAAATCAATAGTCACTATTTTCTTTTTGTTAGGTAAATTATTCAATCAGAGGCATAAAACAATTAGTTGACCATTTATTTAATTATGATGTTTCATATTACATATTTTTTAATGTATTATAAATTAAAGAAAGGTTTTGTTTCAGTAATTATTGTATTGAACATTTTTTAAGGTAATTAAATATGTTTTCAAGAATAAATATATAAATATCTAGAATAAATTACTTTTCTTCTTCTATTACAATAAAAAGATTATTAATTATAAAAAAAGAAAAATATGCTGTCAACATATGTAAGTATTGTTATTGTCTATGAGAGAATGGAAATATCAATAACTTATTAATAGAAGAATATTATAGCGAAAATTGATTGAAACTTTACTGAATATTGTTCAGCCAAAAAGTTATGTCTGATTAAAAAGTAATATAAATCAATGAATGATTGTTTTAATAGCTGAATCAATGGTCTATGATTATCCTACCATCATCAATTATGATAATAACATCTATTTGGTTGCCAGAAAGTTTCTGCCCAATCAAGTTGAGTATTAATCTTTCCAAGGTAGGGTCATTAGTTCTCAGACCAATTATAGAGCCTATAATTTACCAAACCATCAGTTCTCGAAGGGCCTCATATCGAGTTAGTGGTATTTCATTCTAGATTTGTGTGGATTTTCCGATATTGCATCACCTGAAACTTTGTTACAATGGTAAAAATATTGAGATCATTGCTTCAAGAGCTACCTGGTGTTTTGGAGATAACATTTGTCACATCAAGTAGTCCTTTCAGGAGGTTTATACAAGCATTTGTCACGTTCACAAATGTAGTAATGTCAATATCCAATGCAGTTTCTCTATACTTTTTGGGATTGGAGAGGAGTTTGGGAGGAACTGCGAGTTTTGCTGCTTATGGAATCATTATATGTATCAAACATGCTCTCTATTATTTCAGAGAAAAAAAAATTAAAATGTTATTGAATTTTTTTGTCAAGATAGAAAAAGGACATACAAAAGGCTGGGAAAAAGAAATGTTTGAAAATATTTCTAAGGAGGCTTGGATTGTTGTTTATAAATATTGGATAATAATTCTGTCTTATGAAATCTTTTATATAAACGTACTAACACTGCTAGATTTTGCAATTGGCTATGTCATTCCTAATTTTCCTTCCATTAGGGTGGATGTACCTTGTGAAGGATTTATTGAATTTTTTGAACCTCGTTCATTGAAAAGATTAGCTATTACAATTCCTATTCTCATCTGGACAATGGCATCTATGACTGTCCATTTAGGATCAGAGACATTAGTATTCATCTCTATTATGTACACAAAAATAGAACTCAGAATTATTAAAAAAAAATTAGCAATGATAAAGAATTATTTAGAGAAAAAAGGGGACAATTATAAAATCAAAAGTGAAAAAATGTTATGGAAAGTGATAGCACAGCACAAGAGGACTCTAGAGTAATTTTGATTTTCTTTAATAATATCTATTCCTATAATTTATCCTAACAATAATTTAACATACTTTACAGAGTATTGGATATCATGAAAGGTACTATAGGACTTCCAGTTGCTATACACAACACTGCAATATCTGTTACCCTCTGTGTGATTTTCTACTGTCTCATGACTTTTGTAAGTATTCCACTTTTTCTTTGTATTATAGAAATAAATTTTTATTTATTTATCTTCAATTGCAATTTTCCTTTTATTTTCAGGATGAAAGAGGAAGTTTGTCAATCAAATTCCATGGCATAACGCTGATAATGTGTTGTGGAAGCCTCGTCCTCGGTTTGTGCTATTTTGGAGAGTCATTGGAAGAAGAGGTTTGATAATATCATATAATCAACTATAAGGTTATTTTTAACATTTTGCTGAAATAAAAAGAAAAAAAGAACAGCTTAATCAGATGGAAAAAATACGGAGTCAAAAACTATGTTTAGAAGAACAAATATAGATTTGAACTATCTGTTAACTAATTTAAACAATCACGGGTTTGTAGTGTTTTCTTGGTTTCTTCAAAGTGTTTGCTAAGAAATTGGACATTATTGTAACTATCTGGGTTTAAGATAATGAGTTCAAAATATCTTTCATTATGAAGGATGTACTCTGATAAAATTACTAAATAAATATTTTGATTAAATGATAATCAAGATAAAGTATATGATGACAATATTCTCTCTTGAATATTTAGGATTTAGAAAATTTACTATTATTATTTAAATGGTTATTATAAAAAAAACAACAAATAATTTAATTTTAAAAGTAATGGATCAATACTTCTTTGCGATGAGATGATGCAATATTTGTCACAGAGAAAAAGATGAAAAGAACTACAGATGTCAACTTATAATTACTTAATTATACATAATTAATACAGTCTAATAGCATGCTATTAATCTTCTGATAGTACTGTGATTAGCAATCATAGAGAAAAACTAATTTAAGGATAATCTGTCTATCATTAATTTATGAATGGTTTAACAAGGCTGTAGAAGTATTAATTTTCATTCATAATCATTTTCAAATTCCATAAAATTATTCGATACTTTATTTTTAATTATTTCATGAACATTAGAATATAAAATAAAATAAGAGATTTAAAGAACTGGAACTAAATCAAGGAAAATAAAGTAACAATAGAGATGTTTTAATTTAAAATATTTAATTTGTATTTATTTATTGAGTATTACAACAATCTGTCACTTGAAAATTAGTTATAATGAGGTAGGACAACATTCAAACTATATGTAAAATATATATATATATATATATATATATATTTATATATATATATATATATATATATATATATATAAGGAAATAAAAATAAATAATAATCGGAAAGTATATACAATAAATAAAACAAAATAACTTGAAAATAAGAAAATTAAAACATTTACAATTAGGCGAGGGAACTCCGAGGTAGACTTGTCCCTCCAACCATGGATGAGAAAAGCTGGACTCCAGAAGAAACCTGCACTACTCTCTCAATCGCATCACTGGTACTAAAGCCAGCAGAAATTGATCAAGAACACTTTAGCCACATACACTCATTTCTTGTGGGAAGAATCCGGCCATTGCCATAACTCCATCATATACAATCTACTAAAGGTAGTGGGGCCACTGCCGTTTCAACATTCTTGGAGGATTATAGGGATGGGTGGTGCTCGATAGGGATTGTGCAAGAGGATTTGGATGATACATAAGGTTCTGATAAAATTTGGAGAATTTTTCTGGGATAAGATCTAGAACAAATGGGATGATGAGGTCATGATGTAGAATTTGGTTGGTTACATAGAAAGGAACAACGATTATTGTTCAAAGGACTTTTGACTGGAAGGATTGGATGCATTTGATGTTAGAAAATTTTGCTGCTTCCCACAGTTCTAGTCCGGAAGTCCAAATAGGTGTCAGTATTGTCTTGTAGATCAGTAATTTGTTTTCAATAGAAAGTTTAGATTTTCTGTATAGTTGGCCATATCGTAGGTTAAGCTCCTGTCTTTTAAATATAGTATGATGATTGCACGTTAGTCTTCTATCTAAGAGAAAGCCAAGGTACCGGACTGTATCTGAGGAAGGAAGCTGGATGGTGTTAAAATAAACTGGTGGACAGGATTTACAACAAAGAGTGAAGGTAATGCGCCATTTCTTACACCAGTGTTCAATCAGGGAGATGTTTAATGACTAAATGAGATTGTAGATTTAATGACGCAGTTTTAGGATCTGAGATGGTTGAAAGGATAGCGGTATCATCAGCGAATGTTGCCAGGAGGGTATCGGGACGGACAGAAATATCTGTGGTGAAAATAATGTAAAGGATGGGAGCCAAGACGCTGCCCTGCGGAACTCCCAACTCAATTAAATGATAGTCGCAGAATTCAGTACCATAGCGAACTTGAAAGGTGCGGTCAGAGAGATAGGATCGGAGTATTAGATATGAGGACTGTAGTAGATGGAATTTAAGCTTAAAGAGCAGTCCAGCGTGCCATAGCCGGTCAAAAGCTTGTGCTATGTTCAGAAATGTACCCGAACAATATTGCTTTTTTTTTAGGGCTGAGAACATATGGTCAACAACTCGGAGTCCTTGTTGGACAGTAGAATGTTGGAAACGAAACCCGAATTGATGGGTAAGAATTTTATGGGATTCTATTCTGGGTAGGATTCTTTTCAGAAAGATCTTTTCAAAAATTGTTAATAGGATTGGAAGCAGGCTAATTGGTGTATACGATGATGTATTGTTGGGAGGTTTGTCTGGTTTCAGGAAAAGGACAATGGTGGAATGTTTCCATAGGAGAGGGTAGTGGGTAGTTCTTAAGATGAAATTATAAATATATTTAAGGAATATGATAGCTTTGGGGGGAAGTTGTCGAAGGATTTGTGGAGTTAGGAGGTCGTATCCAGGAGATTTACGAGAAGCGAAATTGCGTAAAAGATATTTGACCTCAGATGGACTAACTGCTTTAGGTGTTAAGGAGAGCGGAATCGGTGAAGAGAGGAATTCTTCTACTTTTGCGGTAAGGGTTGGATGGGATTCTGTATGAGGAGTGAATGTACTGGAGAGGTGTCCGTGTGAATTCCTTAGCTTTGTCTTCATCAGACGCTGCCAAGGAGCCATCGCATCGACGGAGGGAGTGAGAAATGTAATGGGATTTTAGTAGTTTATTTTTTTGTGATTTTCTAGAGGGAATTATCATGAACAGAGAGAGAAGTAAGGTAACATAATAAGGTTTGCTGTTATAACGAAAACCCCCTGCTATGTCGTTTTGGAAAAGGGTCGCAATTAGTGGAGAGCCTTGGAAGTACTGTTCTCCATCGTGTATATAGCAGATTCTGACGAACGAACGCTAACAGTGAATGTTCTATGTTTTAGAAAATCCTTGATGTATTTACACATCTTCATTTTAATATTCCATCATCTTGGTATCACAGACCTTTTCGATATACAAGAATATTGGAATGAGATGTTCTTTCCTTTGAAAAGCTTCTTGCGCGTCCCATTTTAGCATTTCATTGGGTCCATAGTGGAATGGTTTTCTCTAAAACCTAATTGGTTCTCTTGGAGGAGTTCTCTTTGTTTTATTATTTCTGTAAGTCTCTGGTTTACTATCTTTTCTCAAATGTTAATTACACATGAAAGGAGTGACATGGGACGAAAGGTTGATACAAAAGTTCTCTCCAAATCTGCGGAAGATACCCGCGATCCCAAACCTAAAGTGGGCGGGGTGGCCGAACGGGCTAACGTGTGTGCACATCACCGACGTTGCCCGGCAACCTGGTATATGAGACAATGGGTTTTAAATAGTCACGAGTTCGCTCCCGGTGCCGGAGAAGTCTTTTAAATCCCCGCCCACACCCCCTAGATCGGGAAAACCCCGTATAGCCTTAAAGGCGAGGAAGGGGAGGACCTAAAAAAAAAAAAATAAAGATCCCAAACCTGATTGTACAATTGCAGCAGGTTTTGTTTTCATTTTTCAGGCAAATTATATATCTTTCCATATGATGAAAATGAAAATGAAAATATTTTTTTATTATCCTGGGACTGTTGTCCCTTTAGGACAAATTACAGATACAGAATAAATGCCTGTGTGGCCATACATAAAATTAATTATTTACATTTATTATTAAGATTTAGATTTTGAAAAAATAATAAAACAAACAATATAACTATTACACTAAAAACATTCTGATATGTATAATGCAAACTATATAATAAAATAAAATAGCATAATTAAAGAAAATCATTTCCGGGGGAACTTTAAAAGTTCTCTTATCTACGATTCATGATCAATCGGGTTGGGAAAGGAGTAGATGGTTAAAAAGGAGAGATTTAAATGAGGAAACTGATTGTACATGTCGGATATCGGGAGGGATGGTATTCCAGAAGGAGACGGTTTGAATTATAAAGGATTTGTCAAACGCTACAGTTCGGTGGGGAGGTGGATAGAGGTCGGAGGTACGAGATCTAGTGAGACGGGATTGAATGGAATATTTGAATTTTAGGTTGTGAAAAATATAGGAAGGCCGCTGAGTTCTGATGACTTGGTATAGAAAAGTGGCAAGGAAGTACAAACGGCGGTTGGATGGATAGAGCCACTTCAACTTGGTGTAATACTGGGTTATATGCGTATCTCTTGAGATTCCGAAAACAAAACGTACAGCGCAGTTCATTAGGCGTTTAAGTTTGGCCTCGAATTCTCCCGAGTGTCCGCCGTACACCAGACAGCCATAGTCGAAGTGGGGGAACACAAGGGAGGAAACAAGAAGTTGACGGGATTTGGGATTTATATGGAAGGAGATAGCGGAGACGGTTAAACTGTTTCAGGGTAGAGATAGTACGACGGGAAATTTGGGAGATGTGTAGTTTCCAGGAGAGGGTTTGATCGAATGTAATAACAAGGTTTTTTTACGGAAGTATGGAATGAGATAGATGAGTTGTTCAGAAAAAGATTGGGGAGTATCTGTATGGATTTGAGAAGTGAGGAAGATCCGATCAGAATGGCTTTCGTCTTATCGGCGTTTAGTAATCCTATTGTGATTTTCCCAGGCACATATTGCATTTATATCTTCCTGTAATTTTTGAATGACGCCAGAGGATTCGGTTGTATTGAACGAGAGGTAAATCTGGACGTCATCGGCGTATAGGTGGTATTGACAGTGAAGGATAGAGGATGAAAGGTCATTGATGTAGATGGAAAAAAGGGTGGGAGATAAAGAGGAGCCTTATGGGACACCCCTGAACAAAGGTAAAGGTTCTGATGGGGGGTTATTGGGGACTACAACATACTGGGAGCGGTCGGAAAGGAAGGATTGGAACCAATTAAGGGTACTA